TTTTTCCATAGACAACACTTTTGGCGTTGGTTTATGTTGTCTTTTGGGACAAACGACATCAATATTTTTGACGATGTTTTTTATTTCATTTATCGTGTTTGTCCCATTGCTTTTATCTGAAAAAAAATTATTTCATTTATTAGTAGTATATCAGAAAACATATATTAGAGGTAATATGGTCAAAATAGTTGGTAGATATCGTAGTTAAATCAGAAGTAAATCAATTTCATATCATATTTATATCAAACATATATCATATATATATAGAGTATATCTGTCAATCATAGTTATATCAGAAGTAATCAATAGTATATCAGAAGTTAATAAGTTCTATATCACCTATAGTAGTAGATATCATAGTTATATCAGAAGTAAATCAATTTCATATCATATTTATATCAAACATATATCACATATATATCAGGAGTATGTCTATTTTTTTTTTTAAAAAAAGGAGTATGTCTATCAATCATAGTTATATCATAAGTAAATCAATAGTATATTAGAAGTCAATCAATTCTATGTCACCTATTGTAATAGATATCATTAGAAGTAAATCAATTTCATACCATATGTATATTAAACATATATCACATATATATCAAGAGTATATCTGTCAATCATTAGTATATCAGAAGTCAATTAGAAGTAATTTATTGTTGGTTCGGGCCTGCAGGGTATACTTATAATTTAGAACGTGAGCCTCCATTTTTTTGCAAAAAAAAAAAAATGTTATATTTGAAAAATCCAAACTTTGTTGCTATTTTGCTTATTTTCCTAACTTTTTTTGCCATATCTCAAGTTGGCCCAAAACAATATATATATTATATATCATTATTATATTATATTAATTTTTTTTAATTAAATCTCTACCATTCATCTCTTTTTACAAAAGATACAATGACCCAAATTTAAACTTGATTTCAAATTTCTCTCCAATTATTTTCCTTCTATTTAAAACAATTTTTCTCTCGAAAAAATTGAACAATTTTTTCCCCATTTTCTCTCAAATTTTCAAGATCATGTCTCTTCAAAGCTTCAATATTTGTTCTAATTTCCTGAGAGAGATTTTATTTTGAGAGATATTGTGTTTCCAATTTTATTTTTCTTAGTCATTTGAGGGCTTTATTTTGTAAGAATTTTATTACAAATTTGTGAGCAAAAATTTATATATTTACTCTTCAAGAGAGTCCGTGATATTGTGTTCAAATTTTAAATCTTTGTAAGGGTTGCTCTTGAGCCCATAAAAAGAGCGTTGTAACGGTTTGAACCTGAACTGTGGAAAGAATCGTGTTTGCTTTCGCTCCCGAAAAAAGAACGTTATACTGGTTGGACTCTAAGCCATGGAAATAGTTGGTTCTTCAATTGATTACCCGAGAGGAGCTAGGAGAGTGGTGTAGGTGGTTTTGTCGAACTATTATAAAACGGGAAATTGGGGTTTTTGATCCCACCAATAGTCCAAATTGGATATCTGCCCTCTTTTTTAAAAAACATTGTATCTAACTCCAACTTCCCTTAATTTTAACCTCTCTCCAAGCGAAATTACCATAGTACCCTCATGTTTAAAAAATCAACTCCCTTAGAGTAAAACCAGCGAAATTCATCTCTTTTAACCCTAATTTCCACCCCATCTCGGACGTTTCCTGGCCCCCAACGAAAATTTCCACCCCATCTCGGACGTTTCTTGAGTCCCAACAGAAATTTGCACCCATCTCGGTTCCTAAAACCCTAAACCCCATCCCGGATTGAACGCTATCTCGGACGTTGGACGAGTCATCCACAACATCATACAATCGCTTCCAAGACTTTCTCTTCCACTGTTTCGCACTACGAAGTCATCCATCGCAAGGTTAGTTTGGTCGGGTCAAATATAACGAAAATTTTAATTATTTGTTGTTCTGAGTATCATTATCGGCGGTATCTGAAGCAGCCATGTAAATCTAGAGTCAATTTCATGTTGTGCTTACAGGATTGAGAAATTGAATGAAAAATTCAATCTCGAATTCAATCTAGGATTCAATGCTGGAGGAATCTGGCTCGGGATAGAATCCGGGTTTGAAGTCGTAGTTCCGGGATCGAGATGATGTTCTGCCTTCCATCTCGGATGTTTGTCTAGGATCGATATCATCTCAGATGAGGTGGCCTGCCTTTCATCTCGGAGGCTGTTCTGGTCCACTTTGGTTTGGGATGAAAGGCAGAAAATAATGGTTGGGCTAAGCTCTTTTATTTTTTATTTTGTAATTTTTCTGCACTGAACGCTTTTTTTAAGTTCCCTGCACTAGTCTTTATCCAATTTTTTTATTTTAACTTTGTATAGGACATATAATGGATTTGAGACTAATTCTAAACCGTGATGATTGGTTTCCAACCACGTTGAACAACCTTGCCCATGTAGATAAAACCACTTCTAGGCTGAAGGCTAGGTTAACCCCAACCCAGTTAGACATGTTTAGGGAAACGTGTCTCGATCTCATTTTGGACATGGACATAGTTTTTAACGGTCCATTAATACATCATCTGTTGTTGAGAGAAGTTGAAGAGCCTAGGCAGGACATCATTAGTTTCGACCTGTTTGGGAAAAGGGTGTCCTTTGGTAAGCGGGAGTTTGACCTAATCACCAGACTCAGTCATAGGATGATTAGGGTAGATAACGATATTCCTGGCCGACGACTTAGAGCACGTTACTTTAAGGACAGTGTCAGGGTTAAGTGTAGGGATTTAGAGAAGATTTTTATGGAGGCAGTTTTTGAAGACGACGAGGACCGGAGAACGCCCTCAAGGATAAACTGCCGGCGTACCAACAGAAGGCAAGAGACGAATCCACACACGTTGAGACTTATAGTCTCTACGGGTTTCCGTATGCGTTTCAGGTCAGCGAGCTTTAAGTCAACTATATAATTTAATATATTATTTAAATGCATTATTTATTTGACTTCACTGGATTCCAGGTATGGGTGTACGAGACGATCTTGACGTTGAGTCTACGCGTAGCCACAAGGCTAAGCGACGACGCCATTCCTTTGACTTCTTAGGTGGTTGTGCACTTATTCTTGCGGGTTTCGTACTCTGGGGAGTGAGGTGTTCGATAACACGATGGTAAGTAATTATCTTGTGGTCGTGCGCTTCAAATTTGTTTTTTCATTTGAGTCTAATCATAAGTTTTTTGCAGTCCAAGGTTAAGGAATACTTGGTTGCGACGAATGCTGATGCACAACACATGGTCCGTATCATGCGTCCTCCAAAAGCCCGCGCTATACCTGATCTGCCTGATGTACCTGAGCCGCCGGCTGTACCTGAGCTGCCTGCAGATGTGGAAAGGGGTACTCAGAAAAGAAGAGTGAAGGAGAAAGGGAAGAATATCGTAGAGGATCCGATAGAAGAGGCCCAGGCATTGGACGATGCTGCATTAGATGATCCTGCATTATACGATGTTGGACCCAGTGAAAATGGCGGTCAAGCACCACAGAAGAGGTTGAAACAGAATAAATTCAAGAATAGGATTAGTAAACGGTTGAAGAGGCTCAAAGACTGTGTTGGTGCTATCGAGGCCACACTGAGTGGCTTTGGGGTCGCCCTGAAAGGTATCTAGAGATACCTGAAGAAACTGTCGAAGGTACGCATTTTATATGTATATAACATTAATTATGCTTAGTTATTAATTATGATCAGTTTGGTCCTTATTGGTTCATACTTTTCGTGCAAGGTAAATTCTCGGATCCGAGCAAATATTTTGGAGGTGGGGGTGGGGGCGATGATGATGATCCATAGGATCAAAGGCCTGATGAGGCCTCGAAGCTAGATGAAGGTTCGAAGAGTAAGGACGAGGACCGGAAGCCTGATGATGCCCCAAAGACTAACGATGATCGGACTATGGAGCATGGTCTGAAGAATATAGACGAGAATCCGAAGAATATGGACGAGGATTCGATGATTATGGACGAGGATGCGATAATTATGGACGAAGACTAAGGTACGATAACGGATGGGGACAATGCATTAGATGCTTACCCCGATCGTCCTGTCGGTTTATTTCAAGTAACTCCTATTTCTATAACGCTAGTATACGTTTATGCTTCCATATTGTAATATTATTAATATTTGTTGTATATTAGGATGTCACTGTTGGTAGGCAAGAGCCAAATATTGCATCAGATACGCGACCCGTCAGTCGACGCGTTAGGCGTCCCTATAAGGACTGGGCACCAGACGCAGTCGTTAAGGTAAACTTAATGTCATACATATTGACAATTGTCATTATGCGAACTCATGTGTTTATTGTGTTTTAGGTTGAACCTTACCTTGACCAGGATGAATATGACCTTCAGCAGGGCCCAACTGGGCATGGGCTACGCAAGCAGCATTACTCGTGGAAGCTGAAGAATATACACACACCAACCAGTCAGCGTGGGATCACCGTGGATAGCTACGACCCAGTATGTCCACTACAAGAAAATGAGACTGTTTCGACCACCTTTTATCGAAGGTTATTGAAAACATTTGAACAAGAGTATATTTATCAACAAATATGTGTAGTCTTTAAAAAATATATGATATTTTATCGAAAGTTTATAGAAAACTTTCGAAAATTATGCATTTTTTTCAAAGGTTATTAAAAACCTTCGAAAAAGGTCAACCTTTATTAAAGATATTTTGAGAAACCTTCGAAAATTATTTAATTAAGGTAATTGAAAAGCTTTGAAAAACAATACATATTTACCAACAAATATTTTAAACATTTGAAAAATATATGATATTTTATCGAAGGTTTTTAGAAAACCTTAGAAAATTATACATTTTTTATCAAAGGTTACTAAAAAGCTTCGAAAATGATAATCTTTTATCGAAGATATTCTAAGACCTTTGAAACGATACATTTACTAACAAATATTTGAAGTCTTTCAAAAATACATAATATTTTATCGAAGGTTCTAAGAAAATCTCCGAAAAAGCTATAAAATTATTAACTTTTTCTACGAAGTTGCTAGAAACCTTTACCTTTCTAAAAAAGAACGTTACCCTAGTTGCGGCTAGGTTCTTCTTCGTTCTTTCCTTCTGGCGACGAGAAGAGTGAATAATGAGGTTTAAGCTCTCCACCTACTATAGTTTTCTTTGATCGCTCTCCACCTATTTTCTGGTTTCTTCTCCGTTCTTTCCATCTCGCGTCGAGAATAGTGAATAGTGAATAATGAGGTTTGAGCTCTCCGCCTATTTGCTCACTCGTTCTTGGATTCGACAAGCTTGCTTGGCAGAATTTGATTTTAACAGGTTCGTTGAATACTTAATTCTCTCCTCCTCTAGTAAGCAACATTATTCTTCTCATTATTGTAGTTTTCTTCGATCTGCTTGTGTCCTGTATTGGAATTCTTTAGAGTTGGAGAATAGTGAATTGCATTACTCGATGGAGATTAGGCCTAGTCAATTGACTCCTTTGTTTAATTTGGACAATAAATCCATAGATCCCTTATTACTGATTTCGAATCCAAATTCCAATCATTTTCTTAATAATAACCCGACTACTTAAGTTGACCGCTGCTCATCGTCAAAGAATGGAGTCTGGTTCCAGAAGTAATTCCCAACTTCGTCAAGGTCCGATGCCTCCCCCTTTCTTGTCTATTCTTATTTCCCATTTACCTTTGTTTATTCCTCTTGTTTATGTCTGATTCAGTAGTTCTTGCCTAGGGCTTCCGAAAATATATGATTTAGTAAACATAAGTGTTTTCTACTCTGTTTCTGGTACATAATTGATACAATTTTATTGAGATGCAATTTATGGATTTAAGAAATCTTTATTTGGTGTTCGTCACATTTTTTTTGCGCTCTCTTTGATATGATGTGCGATTATTGCAATTAATTGCACAATAACTAAGGAAAAAAATATTGAACTGGTGATGATTAGATGAAACTTTTAGAAATGGGAAGAAATATGGGATCGTGTGAATTGGTTTTGTTAGTGGAGGATACAACATTGTAGTTGTCCTTTGTCCTTCTGGTAATCACGAGGAGAAGGAGAGTGCAGATTTATTTGTTTGGCGTGGGATCACCACACACTAGACATTGCATTGTTTCGATCATATTTTGATCCCCACCAGGGCTTTTAAATGTTTGCTTTTATTAGTCAGCGAATATAGCATCCTTTTTCTAGTTTCTCATTAGGTGAAAGAATTCAGGATTCTAATTCTTCCTTCCTAATCATTATTAGTTATATGACTACTATGACTTGTTTTTATTTAATGGTGTGAGTGACTATGAATCAGAACGATATGGGAATTGTTGGACCAGTCATTAACTAATCCTCATTTTAAAATTTTATTGTGATTGATGTTTGAGTTATGGATTTCAGAGGCAGGTTTGTTCTGGACTAGAAATGCAACATTTCAGTGATATTAAATCTTTTTCTACCATTTGATAAAACTGGCTACTTCCTCAGCTCCACTACCTCCAGATTTTCATGTGTATAAACCTTCTAGGATAAATATGTTGTACCATTTATTGTTAGTGATATGACTAAATCTATTAAGGAAGATGTGCAAATCTTGGATATCATTTTCCTTATTAGTTGTAAATTATCCTTTTTGAATGTAGCATGTAGAAATATATAGGAATATGGCAAGTTGATCAAGAGTGGTGTATGAGTCTTGTATCAACTGCCTATAATGATGCTGATACTTTAAAAAAGGAAATAAAATCTCAAACCTTGTGGGATTGTCTAAGTAGTATGGGATTCATTCACTGCTCATAGTCGGGCTTTTATTTTTTGCATAGTGCACTAGCAAGTGTCTTCGACTCTTTAGTATTAGAAGATTTATTCTCAATCATTCCCATTCCTGCTCCCTTGAATATTTTTCAATCAAGATAAACTCCTAAAAGCATTTGTGGATTTTATGTGGATTTTGAGTTTCTTATCTCATAAATTTTGATTTTGAACTGTTTTTATCATTAGTTACTAATTATTATTCTTAACTCATTTTACTGCCTTGATGTTTTTCCTTCAGGATATCTGCTTCTACTCTAAGAGAACCTTCCAGTGCTTAAGTGATTTAGAGGCCCTCAAGAAAAGGTACCTTGATTTGTTTTATTGGTAGAAAATTGCGACAGCATTGATATTAGTTAATAAATGTTTGTCTACTTATTTTCCTTGAAGGGGGATCCTTAAATGAGTATAGTGATCCAGTTCTTGCTGCTCGTTTGTAAATATCCACATTTGCCTTATTTAGGCATATGTTAGATTGATGTGTATGAATGACTATTGTTTGTTTTATTATTCAAAATCTTCAAGAAAAATCTTCCAAAGTTTGTGATCTTGAGCGACGCCTTAACGAGTCAAAACAACGTCTTCAAGAATCTGAACGACAAAGAAAAGTTGAGGTACAAAGACTCAAAGATCAAATTATTGAATTAGAAAATCGTTTTGAGCATCAATTTCAACTAATGATGGCTGAGATGATGCAAAAAAATTCCTAAAGTACGGGTCAGAAATTTTTTTTGTTTTAGGTATTTGAAGTAATTGTATTATTCGAATTAGTTTTAGAAATACCGTAACTACTTCTTGATTGTTTTTGCAGTAACTGTTGGTTATAGTAAATAATATTTTGCTTGTGTTGAATATAGTTTTGAAATTATAAATTTTAACTATGAAAAGTAATTTAATTTTTCCAAATAAATAATATTAAATTAATTTTAATTTCAAACGCTATTATTCTATTTGATTTTTTTCGAAGGATTTACCAATGTCAATAAAGAACTTTTTCTTAAGGTTTAAAAATAGTTGAAGATAAGATTATGATCCTTGGAAAATAATGAAAACTTTCGAAAAAAGTAATTGAAACTAACTAATTATTGACAACTAATTTCAGGATTATCGAAGGTTTATAATTTTTGGAAAATATAAATTTTTGAAGGCTAATTGAACCTTTGAAAAATACGAATTTCTGAAGGTTAACAAAACTTTCGAAAAAGTTTTTTTCGACGGGACCTAGTTCGACACTTTTTGAAGGTTGAGTAAACCTTCGAAAAAAGATTTATCGAAGGTTTATTTTATACTTTTTCAAAGGTTGTAACCTTTGAAAATACTTAATTTTCTTGTAGTGGTCCCATTCCTCCGCAATTGGACGATAAGTTCCAGAGATGGATGGATGACCCGAAGACGGATGAGATATTGCGGTCCACTGCAACTGGTTTGCAAAAGAAGGAATGATATCGCGATCTATTGGATCCTAGTGTTGAATTGAAGGACGAAGTAGTACATGTTACTCACTTCCTAGTACATCAATGTGGATTGGTTAAATGTAACAGGTACTTGATGGTCTCGTCCTGTTTACGGCGAAAAAGTTGGAGAAGTGTCTCCATCTATGTCGTAAGAAGTTTGCGATAGGCGATGTACTTCTTTCGGTAATTACTTTTTACTGCTTTTGGTTCGAACTAATAAACGCTTTTTTAATCAATTGTTTAACTAATGAAATACTTTTTCAACTGCTATACAGACTCTGCTGAATCGAACAGATGGTCCATATACGGCCATGAAGTCGGGTGTCTTGTCCACTAGGATCAACTACCCTTGGAGCGAAGAGAATACCATCTTTCGATATGTCTACGGTTGGCAATCGGACCACAACGTGCCCTGGAGTGATGTAGACATGGTGTACACCCCCATCAATGTAGGCGGGAACTACTGGGTGATGCTCGGCATCGATCTTGTAGAAGGCGACATAACCGTATGGGATTCACTCCAAACGGCCACTCCACTGGATGCACTTGAGAAGGATCTGAAGCCCATGTGTACGATCCTACCCGCGGTGCTGCATCATGGCGAGATATTTTCAGTTCGATCCAACTTGCAATTGGTGTCGTGGAGGGTGCGTCGGGTTCGCATACCACAGTAGAGTAGCACAACTGATTGTAGTATTTTCTGTGTCCGATTTTTCGAGCCGGGTCAAATATGGACACTTTGACTCAAGATAATATTGTATATTTTAGGCATTAGTACGCTGTACAGATCTGGCGCGTCGTCCCTTTTTTTTAATATTGTATACATTTTCGATACTGTTTCTATGTCATAATTCATTCTTGTAGCATAATACATGAAACACATTAAAATACAATCTCTGCATTAATAATAATAATAATAATATAACACGTAGGGTTACCAATGCATGTATGCATAGTTGTTTGCTTAAGGTACAAGTTACCTTACAAATTTTTGTAAAATCAACAACATCATATATTCACACTATGTTAAGGGGTTCACTGCATGTTTTGCGATTGTGTCCCGACGTACCACACCTACTGCACTTACGTGTTTGGCGTACCTCGCCTGTGGAAGGAATCCTAACTGTCCGCCTCCTACCAACTCTAGTAACCATATCTGGTGCTTCCACTGGTGTGTCAACAAAATCTGGCGAACTGTTCCATGTTGAGACTGTTGGGTGTGTTGCCCTAAACTCGTAGTTTGTATGTTGTGTAAAAACAAATGTATATTCAATAAAGTTTTATTCAATAAATTAGTTGTAGAATTCATAGCATTGCATTGTCCAAAATCCAATAAACTAAACATCTGAGGTTCTTTTAGTGTAACCGGGACAGTATATGTACTGGGTATATATTTGATTTACTGGATATATAATTGATATACCCTGATATACGAGGTATATGTTTGATATACCCTTGATATACAAGTGGATAATGTCCCGTGAATAACCTAAAAGGTCTATAGTATATGGATAAGGCTGTGTACCTTATCCTGTAAAGGTTACAGACGACTCGATCCAAGTCGTTCGTGTGGAGACATGCGAGTGGGGGTATCCTATACAATTAGTTTGTATAAGACCAGACCACGAAATAGCCAATCTTTTGATGTGACACCGTTAACTAATAGATTGCTGTTTCTTAGGATGACCAGGCAACTCATTCTCAATCCTGAGTGAGTTATGGACTCCTGCCCGTGAGGGCTCGTCCTTTGATCTGTATGGGTGAGAGTGGCCCAAGTTGCCGACTCAACATTCCTACCATTTTGGGGACGAGACCGAGTGGGGAGCTGAGAACATAACTTCACAAGATGAAATTCACTCATCTCCGACTTTAGGGGAGTAGATGAGTGTTCCCTTAAATGCTGACTCCGGGACTTGAACAAGGGGCCCCACCCTCTCATTGGCCCGAGAGGGACTTCCGGTTATTGGTCAGACCATAAACGAGTTATTCATTAGAGGAGCAGTGGTATTTAAGGAGTAAGATGTAACTCAGGGGTAAAACGGTAATTTGACCCAACTTGAGTTACGAGCACTCGTGAAGGATTGACTCTTCATTAATGGTCGTAACATTGACACGAAAACATGCAGTGAGAAGAGTGCAACTGCGAGTCTTTAGTGGAATGACCTGTAGTTAACGAATCTTGATTAACTCGATCAATGAGTTTGACTGATTAATCTTGCATCGTTGGAGCTTCTGATAGAACATGGACTTGAGATCGAGGTGGAGAGTATATGGACTTCATATTCCAGGACTATATGATAAAACATGGGATCACGTCCCAACTCTCAGCCCCTGGTACACCTCAACAAAACGGTGTATCAGAAAGGAGAAACAGAACCCTGTTGGACATGGTTCGATCAATGATGAG